AGACCAAGGGGGCAGGGAGTGGTCTCTGTGTAGGAAAGGTCCAGGGTCAAGGCAAACCTGAGGCAGGGTTCTGGACATGAACTGACCTGAATGAGGATTTGCATTATCTGACTTAATCCCCTCGACAGCCATGCTAGGATGGTACTAACTAATATCATTCTCATGCCATTGATGGAGAAACTGAGGCTCTGACCACACTGCCAGTTTGTGGGGGAGCCTGGATTCGCTACAGGTCTGACTCCAGAGCCAGTGTTCTGGGCACTAGAATGGGTGCCTATTGTTCACGTGAATATTTCTGGAACAACACAGGGGTCACTAACTGGATAAAAGGATGGATGAATCCTGGCCAGTGTGGCTCAGTAGGTTGGGCATTTTCCCGAGCACCCAAAGGTTGCTGGTTCCATTCCTGGTCAGGGCACATGCCTGGGTTGTGGACTGATTGATCCCTAGTAAGGGGCGTGCAGAAGATAGTCAATGGATGTTCCCCTCTCACATTGATGTTTGTCTCTCTCCCTTTCCCTTCCTCTCTCTGTCAAAATCATTTTTTAAGATACATATTGTTTTAAATAAAAAGAGGGATGAAAGAATCTCAAGGTCCTGGCCAAGGCAGGTTGCTTCACACTCCAGGCTATGGCCTTCAGGGGGCACGTGTTGTAATAACACCAGTTTCTCAAGCTACCACACTCCAGGGCTCAGGGGGTAAGAAGCACAAGGGTAGAGTCGTCTGCCTAGAAAGGCTCGCTTGTGTTTCAGGCCAACATTGGGGGAAAATTGCCTCATCATTTCAGAGGCAACCAAACCTCTGCTTCCCACATGTTACTCTTCTCCACCCCACCCCCACCTCCTCCACAAGCTTTCCCAGGTGACCCACCAAGTGTCTGGACCCCTCCATTCTGCCATGTCCCGGCTTAAGGCGCTGTCTCCAGCAGGCTCCTGTGGAAAGGTTGTACCAGTAAAGGGGTGTTCTAGAAGCCCCCATCAGCTAGGTGAGTGAACCGTAGATTGGGCTAACAGGAGGCTCTTTGGCAGAGCCTGTGGGGGAGCATGAGGCTGGTAGCGAAGGGACTTCGAATGAGGGAAGCGGGGAACAGCCACAAATGGTCAGAGTAAAGTAGGGACTTGGCCAAGATTCAAGGGTTACGGGGGCCTTAAGGATGTCAGCTTGTGGACACAGAGGCGTCTAAACATCAGAGCTGTCACAGCTGCCCAGGAGGGCTGCCTTGGACTTATATGGGTAATGGGTGTAACAGGTCACCCCACAGGCAATGTATGTCAGTTGGATCTTTTCTGGGATCAGTGTGGGGCAGGGGATATGCTATTTCCTGGACCTGGGAACCCAGAGCTTAGCCATCAGCTCTCTGGGCCAAGTTCAGATCCTTGAGCTCTCCTCAGATACCTGAGCTCAGGTCCCATGATGTAGCAGATGG